TCCTTTGTTGGCTTATTAATTGCACCTGTTTTCTTACTTTAGTGGTTACTATAGAGTTTATAGTACATATTTTTAACTTCCCACAGTCTGCCTTCAAATGGTGTTACATATACCACATCACATCTTCTACAAGGACCTTACAATAGAATACTCTATTCTTCCCTGCTGGCCTTTGTGCTGTTGATCTCATGCATTTTACTTTTACATATGCTATAAACCCCATATTACCATGTTATTACCATGTTATTATTTTTGTCTAAGCATCAATAATCTTTTATAATAAATCTTACATATTTATCTGTGGTACTCTCAATTCTTTGTGTGTGGGTTTATATTTCATCTGGTATTATTCTTCTACCTGAAGGATGTCCTTGAACACTTCTTGTAGTATGGATCTGCTGGTGGTGCATTCATTCAATTTTTTATGTCCAAAAAACTCTTTGTCACTTCCGTTTTTGAAAGATTTTCTTCAGGTATCAAATTAGATGTTGATAGTTTTTTGTTTTTTCCTTTCAATACTTTAAAGATTTTTGCTCCACTGTTTCCTTACTTGTACTGTTCCTAATGATAACTATGCTGCTATTGTTACCACTGTTCCTATGTATATAACATGTCTTTTTTTTTCCAGCTGCCTTTAAGTTTTCCTCTTCATCACCGGCTTTGAGCCATGTTAATATGATGTGCCTTGGCATGGTTTTCTTCATACTTCTTGAGCTTAGTGTTTGTTGTTTCTTAGACCTGAGTTTTGTAGGTATCATATTTGGAAAATTTTAGTATTATTTCTTCAAATATTTTTTCTGCCTCCCCCCATCTTCATGAATTTCAATTACATGTATATTAGGCTGCTTGAAATTGTCCCATGGGTCACAGATGCTCTTTTCATTTTGTTTTTATTCTTTTTTTCTCTCTGTATTTCATTTTGGGTCTCTTATTACTATACTTTATTGTTTCTTTTGCAATATCTAATCTGCTATTAATCCCACCCAGTGTATTTTCCATCTCAGACATTATAGTTTTCATCTTTAGAAGTTGGGTTTGCATCTTTTTTTGTACCTTCCATGTTTCTATTTAACTTTTTTAACATATAGAATCACTTATAACTATTTTGATGTCCTTAACTGTTCATTTCATTGCTGTGTTGGTTCTAGTAGATTGATTTTTCTCCTCATAATTTTTTCCCCTTCTTTGAATGTCTGGTAATTTTTTATTGGCTGCTACCAGACAATGTAGATTTTACCTTGCATGCTATATATTTTTAGATTTCTGTAATTATTTTTTGCTTTGGGACATAGTTAAGTTTCTTAGAAATAGTTTGATCCTTTTGAGTCTTGATTTTAAGATTTGTTCGGTCAGACTAGTCTTTAGTTTAGGGCTATTTATTCCCCACCACTGAGGCAAGACTCTCTGAGTCCTCTCCTCAGTATCCTGTGTGAGATTCTTTCCAGTTTTGTTGGTGGGGACAGGCATTATTACTGACCTTGGTGAGTGTTGTTATGGACTTTTAAACTTTTCTGGTGGTCTTCCCCTAGTCTTGTGTAGTTTTCTTGCATGCATTCTCTGATCAACACTGCTGAATACTTAAGTGGGACCCTCTACTGATGTCTGTGCTTCTCTCTGTTTACACATGTCTACTCCCCAGTAATCTGTACAAACTCTAGCTCCCTTATTCTTATTTATATAAACTTATTTCCTTTTCTGCATCCCTCTCCCATCTTCTCCGATTCATTTTGGATGACTCAAGGCCGTCAGCTTTGAAAACCCACAGAAGTAGTAATCATTTTTAACCAGTCCTCTCACATTCCCCTCATGATTAATGTTAAGTATTTGCAAGCTTACTGGGGTGAGAAATGTTGTTTGATCAGTATGTTAGGAGTTTATATAAGCTAGTCATTATACTTTGTTTCCTTATCTATCAACTGCATATTTGCTGAGTTCCTGCTAAATTCCCAGCATCATACAAGGTTCTGAGTTTTAAGTAGAAAGTGAGTACAACATTGTTTCTGAAAAGTTTTTGTTCTAGTAGGGGAGATAGAACAGGTGTCATGAAATGTCATGAAAAATGTAAAACTTCTTTTTTTTTTTTTTAAATTCACTAGATGTTTAAAGATGAGAGAAATTAGTATGATCCGGGTGGTCAGGGAATGCATCCTCTAAACAGACTGAAAAGGGCCTTTGAAAAATTAAAAAAAACCCAGAAATCAGTTACAAGTTATAATGGAAGAAAAGGTGCCATTTAGCTAAACAAATTTCATAGGCATACAATAAACAAGAGAAGTTCAAAATTTATGAGGAAAATTATTAAAAAAAAACTCCTAAAGATACAAACATAAACTTGACTTGAACAAATATTCTGAATAGGAAGACTCAACATCCTAAAGATGTCAGGTTTTTCTAAAATAATTTATAAATGTAACATGATCCCAATAAAAATGTCATCAGATTTTTTTCCTCCTAGGTCTGGACAGATTATAAAGTTTATTTGTAGGAACAGATAAGCAAGCATAGCTAGAAGAACTTTGAAATTGGAGAACAGTAAGGATGGGAGGCTAGCCCTGCTAGATAATGAAACATATTATAAGCCATAATAACTTTTAAAATGTGGTATCGGTTCAGGAATACAGATCAACTGAATAGAAGATATAAAACCAAAACCCAGTGGTGGGACTTCCCTGGTGGTGCAGTGATTAAGAATCCGCCTGCCAATGCAGGGTACAGGGGTTTGATCCCTGGTCCCAGAAGATCCCACATGCCGCGGAGCAACTAAGCCTGTGCGCCACAACTACTGAGCCCATGCGCCACAACTACTGCAGCCCATGCGCCTAGAGCCCATGCCCCACAACAAGAGAAGCCACTGCAATTAGAAGTATGCGCACCACAACGAAAGTAGCCCCCAATTGCCGCAACTAGAGAAAGCCCAAGCACAGCAACGAAGACTCAACACAGCCAAAAATAAAATAAATGAATGAATTAATTAAAAACCAAAAACCAAAACCCAATGGCATGTAGAAATTTAGTCTATAATAAAAGCAGCATCCTAAAATCAATGAAAAAAATAGGAATTTTTAATTAGTGATGTTTGTGATACTGGGATAGTCAATTGAGAAAAGCTAGGATTGGATTCACTTCTCATACTGTACCAGGATGTACAGTATTCACACACTTATATATGTATGTATATGTGTATATATGCATATTTGTATATACAATACACACTCCCCCTCCTTTTTTGCATAGCAGAAAACACCATCATCAGAGTAAATCAATTTCACTAGTAAATCAAAGTGAAAAGAGGACGACAAACTGGAATAATGTTTGCCGCTTCCATTATGGACATTGCATTAATCTCTCAAATTTATGAAAATCCTCTAAAACTGAGGAAGAAAAGGACCAATAACTTTATAGAAAGATAGGCAAGAGATAATGAAGAGTGAGTTCATAGAGACAAATACATATTAGCCTTTCTATGAAAAGGTGCCCAACCTGGTTTATAATAAGAGGTGCAAATTAAAACAGCACAAGATATAATTCCTTTCCTATCATATTGGCAAAAGTCCAGCATTTTGACAAATATTCTCTTGGTGATAGATACAGGTACTCTCATACATTGCTACTGGGAATGCAGAATGGTACAACTTTAGAGAGAAATTTAGCAGTATTAAACAAAATTACACATATATTTACCTTTTGACCCAGTAGTCCTATCTCTAAGAATCTGTCTTACAGATATATACTGGGAAATATCTGAAAATATGTGTGTACAAAGTTACTGTGTCACTATTTCTAACAGCAAAAGACTGGAAACAGTCCAAATTTTGATCTTGATTTGCAGAAAACAGCTATAAAAAAATATTTCACCATAGGGGAAATTTGAACATTGGGTAGTTGATTATCTTAAACTTTTTAGATGTGATGATGTTATTATAGTTATGTTAAAAGAGAGTACCTTTTAGAAATACTTGACATGTTACAACCCATTACAGTTCCTGTTTATTTTGATGCTCAAATTGATCCATGTTTAGCCAGTAGAACCCCTTGGAGTTAACTCTTGAGTCCTTCAGCCACATCTTTTAGAGATAACTACTTAAATAATTATGAGTGAGATTATATGATTGGAATATTTTTCAAGATAATCTGAAGGACAGGGTTAGTAGAGAGATAAAGATGAATTAAGATTTGCCTTGAGTTGATCATTGTTTAGGTGGTGGGGGTTTTGTTATACTACTCTATCTTCTTTTGTATGCATTTGAAATTTCCCATGAAAAATGTACAGGTAGTAGGCATAAATGAAAAGAGTGCATTTGGAACAAAGTCATTGAAGCCAAGGTAGGCAATTGGCTTCTTATACAATTTTATGTTCCTGGTAAATTTAAAACAGACTCTCTTTATTTCCACTATATCTTATTTGTGGTTTAGTCAGCTGGTGTGTGTGTGTGTGTGTGTGTGTGTGTGCATGTGTGTGCGAGAGAAAGAGACAGAGACAGAGAGAAAGTTTAGAGAGACAGAGACAGAGAGACAGAGAAAGAGAGTTTAAGATAGATTTTTGTTAGTGTAATTCTCAGTATTAAACTAACTCAAAAAATAAGAAGTTGTTTGTTTATTGGCCCTCATTCATTATAGGGCCTTTGGATTACCAAAAGAATCAATTTGGAGGAAGTGAACATTTTCTCACACTTTCTATGAGTGTCATATTTTCTTGCAAATTTTATTTGGACATTGATTTAGATATATCAGTCGAAAGAGAAAATGGAGAGTGGAATTTTTCAGATTTAACATTAAGATTGTTCATTTAGTAATTTTTAAGCATGTCATTTTAATAGCTTATAAGGAGTCTAGGTTATATAAAATTGCATAAAGGAACAAAAATCTATTTTGCTCTAAACATTTTTGCTTTGGAGCCCTCATTATGTCTTAGAAAGACAGATTATGTGATTTATTTAATGATATCTAACGACATTAAGCATGATCATGTTAACTTGTTTTCTATTCTACCAACAGATTAATATACAAATTGGAAATTTGTATCTTTTGCTGGATATTGGAGATTGAATGTAATGGCAACAGAATTTATAAAGAGTTGCTGTAGAGGATGTTTCTATGGTGGAACAGAAAAGCACAACTGTGAGTTTTGCTTTGTTTTGATTTCAACATTTATTTAATGTCTTCTTTATTTGTGACATTTTGTGATATAAATGTAAATGAGACATGTTTCCTAACTTCACGGGGGAGGCAGAAACATAAATATAAGGCACACTAGCTCAGTATGAAAGTACCTTGGAGCATAGTGGAGAGAGAGATGAATTCAACTCAGGAGACACTCTAGGACATCACCACAAAAAGATGATCTGTGGTATGGAAGTCTGAAGAGGATTTTAGCAAGCTGAGTGGGAAGAAGGGAGTAAGAGAAGGTGAGGATTAGACATGAATATTACAGGTGGATGAAATAGTATGGGCAAAAGTAGGGAAGTATTTGGGGGATAACATACTCTGGCAAATGTTTTAATTTAAATACAGAGAATTTCCAGTTTACAAACAATGCATTAAAAAGTGCCTTTCCTGAATGAATGAATGACCAATAGAGAAGAGACCTGTAACTTTGTCAAGACCCACATTTATCAAGGACTCCTGGAGATTTCGTTTTCTATTGCATGGTTTCCTCAGCTCTTCAAGGTTATGACTGGAACTTTATTTTTCTCTGGCTCTTTCTTATATTTCTTTGTCTAAAGCATAACTTCTTAGTATGTTTTTGAGTATGAAGGCTTCCTTTTTGCAATAAAACATTTCATAAATTCCAACACAATAGAAATTGTACTTCCATTCAGTCTATAGACGGTACTAACTGTACATGAAGATTAGCTCTAGGTGTCCCTTACCTCCCCATCCTAAGTCACACAGCTTAGGAATCACGTATCTTTCAAGATAATGGACAAAATAGGTCATAGAAGCTAGTACAGGGAGAGTCGATATTATTTTAGGGTCAAAGTACATTTTATTTTGTGGTTTGGTAAAGATTTTGGTAAAGACTTCGAGACCTTTAGCTTCTTTTCAAAGTAACTTTTGGTATTTAACTGCTAGAAATTACCTGCTAGTATTGACAACAAGAATTGTTTTGTTGACAGTATTTTTATTTAAATGACTAGATTATTACTTATTTGAAAGCATTGTGGAATTAACTACAATATAAACTTGTTTTCCATCTATGAGCTCTTTTGTGGAAATGAGACTCTTTAAAAACTGCTTTTACCATTATGATAAGTTAATATACTTTGGCAGTAGTATATTAACTTCTCAAATATTGGCTAGACAAAATTAATGTAGATTCCAGAGTGCTTGATAGGACCCATGAGTAGTTTATGTATCAGCAGTTTCTTTTAAAATGATAAAATAAGTACCAAAGCATGTTAGGTTTAGATTATTATATATAAATCTACATACATATTTGTGATTTTTTTTCTCTTTTCTCTTCTACGCAGTGTCTGTGGAAAGAGACTTTAAAGCAGCAGTATCAAATAGTCAAAATACTGCTATCTGTGTACCTCCATTGACCTCCGTTTCTGTAAAGCCTCAGGTTGGCTGTACTGAGGATTATTTACTTTCCAAATTACCATCTGATGGCAAAGAAGTACCATTTGTGGTGCCCAGGTTTAAGTTATCTTATATTCAGCCCAGGATGCAAGGAACGCCTTCACATTTGGAAGAACTTGAAGGTAAACAGTAAAATGGCAGGATTTAAAAATCAACATGCAGCATTTATTTATTTATTTATTTTTTATTTTTATTTTTTTTTTTTACATCTTTATTGGGGTATAATTGCTTTACAATGGTGTGTTAGTTTCTGCTTTATAACAGAGTGAGTCAGTTATACATATATATATGTTCCCATATCTCTTCCCTCTTTGTCTCCCTCCCTCCCACCCTCCCTATCCCTGTTGTTGTCTATGCTTAAGACATTCTGTGGGAATCAATTGGCTCTATAGAATTTACAATAAAAGTATTATTTGTGTATATTTTTTTGTTTGTAAATTGCTCAGCTACACATACTTTATATCAGTAAAATTTATAATAAATTATGTACATACAACACACACATACATTCAGTTGTTTTGGGAAATCTGTTCTTAAACATACTTGCACATCACTGTTTATAGGCCTGTTGTAAAAGATAAAGCATGTACAAAGGAAAATTACTGCTGCTGTCAGGTTGTCACTATTAGAAATGGTAGTGTCAAGTTCGGCTCGGTCTCTGGTTTTACTTTTTTACTATCATAAGTGGGGTTGTGTGATTTTTTATAATCCAGGAAAGGTTTTGGCAGCCTGCAAAACACTTTTTCTTCTCTTCTTTTCATGTAGTCCTTTCCACATCTTTATTCTTCTTTTACTTTGAAGATTTTTTTCATTTTTCTATCCACTAGTGGGATGTACTTTGCAAATTTATGTGTTACAGTTCCAACTCATTTAGTGATTAATTGAGCACTGGGGAAAGCAAATTCAGTTCCAAGAGACAGAATCTGATTGGTCCAGTGGGAAGTGATCCAGTTTGAAACAGATACTGATGCTGTTCCGAATATCTATGGTGAAAGAGAATCAAAGTGTTCAAACGCGATTGGTGGCTCCACTCCAGTCCACATTGGTTTATCTCTTAGACACACTTTACCCTTCTTTTGTCAGACAAAATGTTTGACATTAGCCTGTAAATAGGTTTTCAAGTGATACTGATGAATTATAAAGTTACTATAAGCTAGGGAAATTAGAATACCTGTTATCCTGTTAATGAGGCATGTGACAGGCATGGACATAACAGCCTATTCTCTGGCTCTGCAGTTCCTGAGGTCCTGTGGTTCAGAATTGTATTCACCCAATAGTGCTTTCTGGGTTTGTCTTAACCCCAGAGTTTCAGAGAAATTTGTCCTAGGGGCATGTTTGGACAGTGCTTTTGAAGTCTCAATGGCGGAGTTGCCCAGGTATGTCTTAGCAGAGAAAAGCTTTACTCATGTTGTTGTTCTATCAATAGTTTGGTATGCCCTGCATTTTTTTTTTTAGCATTTGGGGTGTTTAAAACAGCCTTGTAATGTGGAGAATGTGAGTCTAGAAGCAATTCACAAAGCAGGGCCCCATAGGAGAGGATGCTAAAGCTGTGCTCTTTTAGGTATGCTGTTTGTGGCATAATAGTCAGAAGCCTGAATTCCCTATTTGATTTTACTCAAGGCAGAGAAGAAAAACAATCCATCTCAAAGGGGTTTTATTCGTTTGTTAGCCTGTTAGCTTGCTTATTTGAGCCAGTTTGCTTAGCCTTGAGGAGCATGGGTGTGGAAGTAGACCAGTTCTAACACTTGCTAGCTATGAAAACTTGGAAAGTTACTTAATCTCTCTGTTCCTCAATTTCTTCATTTGTAGAGTGGGTATAACAGTAGCCCCTACCTCTTATTTTGTTTTGAGGGTTACATAAGCTAATACATTTACATGAGTTAAAACACTGCTTGTCACATTAATTAAGCAATCAGTAATTACAAATAGATATAAGCACAAAATAAAAATCACCCACTATTTCATCAAACTATATGCATTCAGTTCATTTCTTTCTCTTGGGAGGCAGAGATATTGAATAATATCCTGCGAACGGAGAAAGAACTTTGAGACTGAAAAATGAAGCGGACAACTCCATAAAGTGCAATTATAAAGTTTACTGTGGGTAACTTACATACAGGTAGGAAAGATCAGGCAAACAGAAGATCCAGAGGCATTCACAGCTGTGCTTTGTACTGCCAAAAGGGGTATGGGGGACTTAAAGGTACCAAAGTTAAAAACGGAATCTGACTACCAAGTGAGAAGCACATCCACACAGACTGGAACCAGGGGCACCCACCCCACTTCTGGGTCTCATGACCATTAACCATCTACCTCAGCAAAAGGCCCTCTTCCAGCTTTCATTTTAGATGAAGGCAAGGGTAAAAGTTGATAGGGAACTCATCTGGCTTGGGCGCATTCCTTTGTGAGCTAGGCTAAAGCTCAGTCACCTGGAAAGGACTGCAGGCCTAAGATAGAGCTGACAAGATGAAGCCAGTATGGTTCAGCTCCACGCTCCACCCCTGACATCTATAAGGCCTGCATGATCTTATCCATCATTCTTCCGAGAATACCCTAGAGCTAGACATCAGGAGTTTACATGCTGTCCCCACCCATTGTCCCCGTGATGTAAGGTTGAAAGACAGAATACCCCTGGCATTACTTCAGAGCTAGACATTGGCAGCAATCTGCATACCCAGAAGTCAGAGTGGTTGTGGATGTCAACATAGGTGGTAGCCCAGGACAAGAATGCATTAGTGAAGGTAGGTAGCACTAATCTTAGAAGGAAAAGGCTAAGGACGATAAGTGTTTTAAAGGTACCAAGAAAGACAAATCTTCATTCAGAAACAACACTGTAGCAGTTTGGTTTCCATGTGCCAGGATCACCCTGGGCTTTGACACTTTTCCAATAGGACAATAACAGACATTTTGTGCCTTTACATTGGAACTGGGCAGGGAGATATTATATGTGGGGGCTTCAGTAGGGGCTCATAAAAGAAGCCCTACTTCAGTCCCCCATTTAATTTCTATGGGGGTGGTCACCTTGGTTATGGCTGGGCCTTCACTTAGAAAGATTGAGGAAATACTATGCCAGGGCCTGGCCCTTACCCCCAAGGTATATGGATGCCAAGCCACCTGGGAGGGGTATACCATTTGTCTCCAATCTAAGATAGTCTCCCCAGGTAGGAGGTTCTGTGGCACTCTTAGGATAAGACCCACATCCCATCAGATGGGTCTCAGTGCTCCTTCTAACACTTGTACCTTTAAGGCCCTAGTTGGCAGAGCAGGCACAGTCAGTCTCTCATAAGCAGACATGTGGCCTGCTGTGGGTTCAGTGTTTAACAGCCAGATGGCTTCTAGTAGTGGTGGAGAACATCCTCTTAAAGACCTGTCTGGAGAAAGCTTCTTCAATGTCTCAGTAACCTGTTCATTCTTTCTACCAGCCCTGTGGCTGTTGGGTTATATGGCAGATGGAAGGTCCATAAAATCTCCTGGGCTTCAGCCCATTCTTTTACATCACGACCAGTGATATGGGTCCCTTGGTTGCTGTCTGTATGAATGGGGATCCAGTACATACTTTCCAACTTGGTCAAGCCCCTAATAGTGGCTGTCTGATTTGCTCTCTTACTGGGAAAGGCTTGTATCAGCCAGGTACCTGTGTCCACACAGGTCAATGTGTACTTGTGTCCTTCTGATAAGGGCAGGGGGCTGATATAGTCCACTTACCACCTGGTCACTGGGCTAGTGCTCGTCCAATGTGACCAGGAGTATGTCTCAGGGGTCGTCACCACAGGCTACAGTGGGGGCAGTCCCTATCAACTGCCTACCAGTCAGTGTATTTGATGGAGAGGTGTAACCTCTTGGCTATCTCCCAGGTGGTTGGGGCCTCAGTGTCTGTCCTGGTTTTCAGTGAAGCCACTTTGCCACGTCCGAGGGAGTCTGTAACTCTTCCAGGAGGACAGCTTCCTCCTTGGCTAGGGTGTCTGCTTTGTGATTCCCAGGCAGTGTAGTTGGAGAATGTGCAGAGACATGCCTTACCTTGATGGCAGTACTGGGTTGTGTGCACACATCCCAGATGTCCCTCTGTAGGCCAGCTCCCCACAGGTGCCGTCCCAAGATAGTCCAGCTTTCCTGATGACATTGTGGCATCCACATGGTCAGTCCTTTTCACACAGCCCACTTGTCTGTGGCTGTATAGAGGGGCGTAGATTGATGAGTGATCTCAAGCTATACTGCCCCCAGTTCAGCCCGCTGACTGCTGTGCTTAGTGCCTTCTTCAAACCAAATGACATTGAAATCCAGGCGAACTGCTGAAGTGGGCCAGGTGGGGGTATTGCCTTGACTGCTGCCATTGGTGAACCATGTCTCAGGAGGAATGGTCCCGATTCCCTCTTTGACTTGGCTGAGAGGGGAGCGATGGGTGGTATCTGAGGGGCCATGTCTAGATTCACATAAGACCCTGGCCCAAGGGGAGCATGTAATTTCTCAGAGAGCAGGCTTGAATTGTACACATTACCTTGTTGAAGGTATGGGTGCCACTTTTGCCGTTTGCTTACTTGGGCACAGGCACTTTTTGGTTTAAGGAGCATGTTCTTAACCCATGAACAGACACTGGTAAGTCCATGGTGAGGCCTTCTGTTTTTGCTGCAGGGCCAGGTAGACTACAAGGAGCTGTTTTTCAGTAGGGCTGTACCTCACTTGCCGTCCCTTCTACAACTGAGAATAAAATCCTAGTGGGATGCAATTCCTTTCCTGCCTTTGCCACAGGCCCTAGCCAGAACCTTTCAGGTGTGAGTCAACATCTAATTCACAGGCAGCGTCCCGCATAAGTACTCCCAGAGCCTGAACCTGTTTTACTACAATTTCAGCCTTTTCAAAAGCTTCCTGAAGGTGGATGTCCTAGTCCCATTTTTGTCCCTTTCTAACCAGAGAGTACTATAGGGGCCATATTATTTGTGCCGAATGTGGTATGAAAGGATGACAATAATCTAGTGACTCCAGAAAGGATTGTAATTCCTTGACTGACTGGTATGGCCAAGGCTTGGATTTTATCGATAACCGAGGCTGGGGTAACTTTTGTCTTACCTGACCAGATAACTCCCCAAAACTTTACTGACTGCCCAGGTCCCTGGATCTTGTCAGT